GACCGGACATCTGGAGCGTGGACAATTATGGGGGCCCAACATCGGAAAATCGGGATGGGTCCTGCTTTGATACCATGTTAAATAGACTTTTGGCCTAACTCAACCCCCAAAGCTAGCTCAAGAGGTGAGGATTGCCCAAGTCCATATAAGGAGACCACCCATCCCCTTCATTGTCAATGTGGGACTCAACAAACAGTTAGTATCCTAGAAAATCAGTAGTCTGCACGAGACACGACTTCCATGATGAAATCATTTTTGTCGGATTGCCTTCTAGTATTGAGTGAAAGTGACACTTTGGTACAAATGAATCTCTACTTGAGTAGAGCTTCATGTTTGTTTCTGTGGTATTACAATAAGAGTGTCTAACCTGGTCTAAGGTATATAGACTGAATTAAGGATATATGAAATTTCCTGGGAACCTCCAAATCTTAGTAGCCAACGATGTTAATAAATCAACCTCATTTTCTCAAGACCCACCCAAAAGAATCATTTTCCTACAGTATTATTTTATTTACCTCATCAAAACCTAAATCCTTTGGTTCTTCTTCCCATTTCTTTTATCATATGTTTATTCCTATTTCCTCATGTGTATGCTGGTTTTTGAGTTTACAGGATGCACGTCATCCCAAATTGTCAGGTGCTGCAGTTTTTGTGAAAAAGCTGCATGATCTTGCAGGCAAGTTTGATGTTTGTTGATATGTTAGGAAACTCGATTAACTTGCATGTTAAAGTTCTAAGGACTTGAGATTTCTTTTAATGCTGCAGTTCAGAAGAGGGGCTATGTAGATCTGCATGAGATGGCAAAGGAAGATACATCATCTTGTCACTATGGATCCACTCTTCCAAAAGATTCAACTTGTAGTTTGCCTTGCAGTTGGACTGAAACAGATCCTTCTACTTTTCTTATTCGTGGGTTGACCTACCTAGATGATCGTAAGAAGGTGAGGTCTCATTTGATTCAGCTTTCTCACTTAGCTTACCATAAGCATGTTCTGGTTCAATTGTTGTGGTCCCCATCTCTTAATTGATTGATCTTGGACTTTTGGGATGGTTCCATTATTTAGTGGACACATACAGTTCGGTTTTTCTGTGGACTAAAGATTAAGGTCTGAGATTTGCCTTCTAATCATTACATAGAAACAGCATGCAGAACATGCTATACCACAACTCACAGCCGAATGTTAGTCAAGCTGCATTAAAGGAAACAGTATTACTTGTAAATCCTGCACGCTACTTGGCTAGGTGTCTGCTATGCTGGAGAGCATGTGGATTTTTGGTGTTCTTTTCTTTATTAACGTCAAAAGATTCTTAAGTTTGCTACTGTAATCAGAATCTAGATACTTCCTCGTGTTATTATTCCATTTTATCATTCTGCCTCTCTTATACAGATTAAGGCAAAAGGCACCTTGATGCAAATGGTGGGTGCAGATTGGTTGAAGTCTGACAAACGGGAAGATGATCTAGGTGGTCGGCCTGGGGGCATTGTTCAGGTTTCTTCTGTTATGCAATAAAATAGAGTGATCATATTGTTTAATTTCTATGGGCCTACTGCTCACTATCTTTTATCTGCAGAAATATGCAGCAAAGGGTGGTCCGGAATTCTTCTTCATTGTGCACATACAGGTATGACTTCTCTTGTTTCCTTCATATACTTTGATTTCCTATAAAGCTGCCACCCAAATGCTTCATTTTGCGGTATATCATTTGTGTTCAGGTCCCAGGTACAACAACATATAGTCTTGCTCTCTACTATATGATGGATACCCCTTTAGAAGATTCACCTTTGCTGGAGAGTTTTGTCAAAGGAGATGATGCTTATAGAAACTCGAGGTTCAAGCTGATACCATACATATCCAAGGTTTGTTTTTTGCAGATTGGGACTGAACAAAATAACTTTTCATATAAGACTAACATATTTTCTCTAAGTTGCTTAGTCCATTTAGCACATCAACATTCATGTGCCATGTGAACTGGTCCATATCATTTTGCACTTCTCTTCTGTTGCATCTCAGCTATTAAGCATACCGTAGCTAGCTAGTGTGCTTAATTTTTAGCAAAACTGAATGTCTTCTTTTGGTGTTTCTACAGACAGGTTTTCATAGAGATTTTAAAATTGATTAATTTATTTTGTGCAAATGATTATACCTAGAAATACCAGATGAATATTAACAACGGTAAATCTTTCAATTTCAAAGGTCTAGAGATATTACAAAGTATGATGGCCAAAGAAATTCTTTTTGGGCCTACATAAATGCAGAAAGGTCGTCTAGAAAGACACAGGGATGCTACATGTTTAAGTTATTATAGGTGGATGCTGCATGCTTGGTTTATTATTCGGAAACCCATGTCCTGTTTTCCATACAGAAGATTGTAAAGTTTGCTAATAGTTGTTAACACATTTTGGTTGCACTATCTGTTTTTGTTAGCATTTCTGATAGTACTTTGGACATATCTCATACTTTTTGTCCCAACTGCTGGATGCTTTGAAATATTCCATCAATTAATGTACAGTGGTTGTATTTACATGAGCTTTCATTTTTCAGGGACCATGGATAGTCAAGCAGAGTGTTGGGAAGAAAGCTTGTCTTATAGGTCAAGCACTGGAAATTAATTATTTTCGTGGAAAGAACTACATAGAGGTAAGTTTCGGCACTAAATGATGCAAACTGTTGTTGTAATGTTAGGAACTGATGCTTGTGCAGGTAGATGTTCATGGTTAAGGATTTCTGAACATTACCACTGTGGTAAAGAATAGTTTTTGTGCTCTTTTTAAAAAAGTAGTATATACTATTTCGTGTTAACTATCTTTAGAACTATAAGTGGAACCTGAAGCTAATATTGACCAACATCACCATGTTAGCTATTGTGCTCTCTCATTCGTAAACCTGAAAAGTTAAGTTGTAATTTCAGCTTGGTATAGATATTGGCTCATCTACTGTGGCAAGAGGTGTTGTCAGCCTTGTTGTTGGTTACCTGAGCAATTTAGTTATTGAGATGGCCTTTCTTGTCCAGGTAAAATTTCATATCCTTATTCTCCATCTAGACAGGTGCTTTAACTCGTGATGTGATGATCATAGCATGTCGATATGGTTATTAAAGCGCATTGGCGATCTTTCTCTACAGGCCAACACGCCGGAAGAGCTCCCTGAATATCTTCTAGGGACCTGCCGTCTTAACCATCTGGATGTTACTAAAGCTGTTCAAGTGAAACCATGATTTCTAATACATTCAGTTTCTAGGTAATTAGTCCAGAAGCTTACAGGAAGCTAGGGTTATTCATTTGCACAGGAAATATGAATGACACCTTATATAAAAATACAGAACTGGTGTAAAGTGACTAGTGAAAGTCCAATTCTTTGATTCAATCAAAAGCCACACCAGCAGTGTGCTGCATTAATGTTTGTTGTATAGTCAACAAAATTGTGCTGTTTTCTAGTTTTTGGTAAACCCCATTGTGGGAACATTGCTTTTCTTTCTTTTCCATTATTAAATGCAATGCTTTCTCTTAAGAAAAGAACCAAATGGTGGTGTTGGGGAAATGAGATTTATGATGTAATGCATGTGCCTCAAAGGGGAAAGCTCTAGAGAAGAAGTAACAATGAAAGAAGTAAAGGATGGCTTTGACCCTAGGGAACTGTACATGTGGGGATGTCTGCCTTAGTCTTGGTTTTTGAGTTATCAGGCATTAGACTTCTATGCCTCAGTGCCTTTTTCCTGTTTTTCTTTTAATAACTTGAGGTGTTGGGGATGATCCTGAACTACGTCCATTCAAGTATTCTTGCCCTTACCCTTTCGGTCGAGCACAACCTCCCGAATGAGGCAAAATGGGCAACGGGGATCAACTTCCAGGACAGGAAAGGGTGATCCTTCTATTTATTTGAGAGACGCTTCATTTAATCTATTGAGTATCTACTATCTTTCAGATAACTCTGTCTATTAAGATTAGGTAGATTTATATACTAGTAGTTACTTCCTCCGATCCACAATAAGTGGCCATTTTATATTTTTATTTTGGTCTAAAATAAGTGTCCATTTATATAATCAAGAAGGAATTAATTTTGTTTTTCCAAAATTTGCCCTTATTTACATATTCCAATGTGTCAAGATAACAATTAATTAAGATTAATTTAATAAATACATCTTTTTTTCTCTAAGAGTTTATATTTCTTTAATGAGTGTGCCAAAGATAAAATGAGTTTATTGTACGCTTCAAATTCTGATCTTCCGGTCAAGATCTGTCCTTTAAGAATTAAATATGATGTTAAAAACTGTTTTCTTGTTAAATGGTTGAAGCGGAAAGATGCAAAACTTAGGGGAAGTAAAACCACAAGGATAAAGGTTAAGTTTGTGTCATCGTTGTTGTGGTTATTCTTGTTTAATAATTTGGTGTTTGAAATTGATTGATCCCATTAATCCGTATTTGTGTTGTAGAAAGCCCTTGCTCTCCGCCAAAGAGGACTATAATCGAGGACTTGAATTCGACAACTCTAATTAATGGCCAAAAAAGTTTTTATTATTCCACCATATTTCTTGGTATTAGTTTGCCTTAATGTGGAACAAATAGAATGTGAGTGAGGCATATATGAACATAATGACACGTGTTGAGACTTGAGATGAAGGATAAATACCTCCTATATTAAAAGTGAATCAGTAAGTTGTCTCGTTGAAGGGGAGCTTTGGCGTAAATGGTAAAGTTGCTGTCATGTGACCACTGACCAGGAGATCATGAGTTCAAGCCGTGGAAACAACTTCTTCCATAAATGCATAACTTTATAGTATTAAAAAGTGAATGAGGACTTCCATTTTCAATCCTTAAATGTGTATAGTAATGCATAATATACAATATTTTGATATATAATTATTTTTAAACCATTGACCAAATGTGTAAGTTGCCCAAAAAAGGGATAAATAATACTGTAATAAATACCACATATTAAATTACAAAAAAAATATGTATGCATTAAAGTTTTACAAGTCAGAGAAGAAAAAAAAAGGGGAAAGAGTATTAAGGACAAAATTAAAGTTGTAGACATCCAACTCTTGCATAATCCGGGTCAAGGATTACTTTTCCAATTTATTACTGGTAAAGTTTATTTATTGAAAAGCAAACACTAAAAAGATGCCTTAAAAAAAAAATACTCCACCAAGTGCAAGTGCAAAAGTGGTGGATTCCACTACTGCTAGTCTAAAACGAACAATTAAGACTTAAGAGTAAAAGTCCACTGCTAGTTTGAATTTCTTTTTTAGGATTTTACCATTTTATGGCTAAGGGTCTGTATTTCCAAAATTGCTTGAAACGTAAAAAATATTACCATAAATATTTGAAACGTAAACATTTTTGTACTAAATCGTAGATTGAAACGTAACATCAGAAATATTTTCATGAGGCACTCATTATTTAATATCTTAAATAACACTTTCTTCATCAAAAGTGAAAAAGTTAATTTTCAAATAATTCATTTTCTTCTAATTATCTTAAATTATAACTTCATATTACTATTATTGTTAATAAACTTTACAAATTTATCCTATATTTGTATTAAAGAAAAATAATAAATACCCGATAAAATAATCAAAGTTTGTTCAAGCTGACTAGGACATATCGTGGTTCAAGAGAGTATTTTTACTATTACAATTACAATTATTATTATTATTATTAATTTTAGTATTATTATTATTATCTAACATAGTAATTTTTTTTTCAAAAGATATTTTCCACTCAATAATTAAATATCACTAAAATATTTTTCATATAAATGTCTTTTTGACTTTGACTTTCTTCATTTTCTGTTTTATTAATTAAGAAAACACAAAAATCCCTTCACACTGATCAGCGAAACAGTGTTTCGAATTTTCCGGGGAAAAGCTCCGTGGTTAGATTCCGGATACTTCTCCGATCGGAGAGGTTGCCGGCGGCGAAGTGGACCCCTCAACCCCCCAATTCCTGAATGTGGAGGAGTTTTGTCTGGTTTTGTGCATATTTATGAGCACGAGATCTCGAAATTCCATAAACAGGCTAGCCCCATTTTTTTTCTCAATTCTCTTTCTTTCATGCATCCCCCCTATATTTATGTGTTTTTTTTGTGTGTTGTGTGTGAGAGAGAGTGGATTTCAGCTCGTTGAATTTTAAAAGGTAATTAACCCCCACCCCCTCACACACCTACAGAGGAAAAAAAAAAAGGAAAAAGAAAAGATTTTTACGTTGTGTTTGGTGTTTTGATAGATTGGTGGGTGTTTATTTTGGATAAGTGATCATTTTCCACTGTTAAAGGTTGAATTTTTACTGGGATTCTTGAATGGTTATGAGTATTTGCCCTGTGAATTCAGTTAGTTGTATGTTATAGGT